GCCTCTGTTTCTTTGTTATATGGCTGGAGCACTCCGCCATGGACCTTGGAGCTGTAGGCGATGCCTCTATCTGTGAGGAACTTACACTGCTGCCTTTTGCGCACCAATGTTTAACTCATTACGATATAATTATGAAATTCGTTGTCTTCAGGTTGAGTCATAGTTGTTCCACTTTGAACTTCAGGGTCCTCCAGGGGCTCCATGCTCAAATCTCCCTGGAGCCATAGAGACAAGTCTGACACTCACAGCCACTGACTTTCTCCCCATCGTCCCTCCCTTCATCCCTCCTCCCTCTCCTACCCCCCTCTCCCCAATCACCTAAGCTAAGTGTCCTTTTCCTGGACACTTGCATCTTGTTGGCTGCTAACTCTTAACAGAATCGCAGTCACTCCTGTTTGGAGCAGACCAACACCTTGAGGTTTGCTTAAGCCGAGGAGGAGCTCCTTCTACCTTTAACCAAGAAAAGATGGATGGCTCTTCTGACTCACTCCAGGGATTTCTGCTCCACAGCACTGAGGAAGAAGGAGCAACTGAAAACATTTTAGAACTGACAGACAGAGAATGTGCAGCCCCGCCGTCTCGGGTTGCAAAGGAAGACACTGGGACTTGAGAGAATGAGGGCCTTACTCCGGGTGTGGTACGGCAGGCAGAGGTCTGGGGTCAAAACTAGAGGAAGAAAGATTACAAAAGAGAGAGAGAGAGAAAGAGAGAGAGAGAGAGAGAGAGAGAGAGAGAGAGAGAGAGAGAGAGGGAGAGAGAGGCAGAGGGCACTCTCTCTTGCCTTCTGTTTAGGTTTGTGTCAGCGCCCACAGGCATGGGAGTGAGCCAATGCCATAGATAAGGAGGGGAGGGAGTGGTGTGGCATTGTGGCTGTTGGATCCAGTCCCCAATCTGCCATGCTTTGGTTGGCGACACTTATCTGTTTCTTAGTTTACTCTCCTGTAAGATAAGAGCACTGGTAACATATCTCATATGGCTTCAGGAAGAATACATGGAGTTAAGAGAACAGTACCCAGTACATCATAACAAATAAGTGTTTGCTATAGTTACGATTCGTAATCTCCAAATTGCATCAGGCTCAGAGTCCTTGGGTCTTGCACAATGTCGCGTACACATCTTGAAGAAGCACAAGGATTCAGGGGGGTATTGCGTTTTAAGTCAGATGTTTGGTTCCTATTACCAGCACCGAGGGATCTCCTATCACAAATAGTGGGATTAGCCTGCAAGTAAGTCAGCATGACACGAAATATATGATCTGGGAAATATTTTTCTGATCCACTTTCATGAATAGTCTGTGTCTTTGCAGCCTGCATTTTCATCTTCAGTTCATGTGCCTGCTTTGTTTTATGTATTTAAAAAAAATGTGGCGAGCTTCACGCACTAGTCTTTTGTACCAGCTGTACATGAAGCAACTACCACCAAAGACATACATGCATGGAATTATACCAACGCGACTCGAAAGTAAAACCTCTTTAACTGGACAATACTTTAATCCTCTCAACAAGGTTAGGGTAGCTGACCACATTTTGAAATTAATTTGTCTCGTCTGCCCTTGAGTGGCACGGAAAACTTCCCTCCACTTTCTTACCCTCTCCCGAGGGTCATTTTCTTCCCTCTTTTCTCCGCCCTGCCTGGCCTCTGACCCTGCCCAGCTCTGCTGTTTCCATGGACTTCTGAATCTAATTAATGTCTTTGTGGCCATAGAAGCGAATTATATAGGCAGGAGGATCTTATAAACTTGGAGGAGGGTGCGCTCCTTGAGAAAACCTGGTTTTGTACAAACAAACGAAAAGAAGTGCACGTGGAGGGGGTAGAACGTCAGTCACGTGTAAAATGCTAGTGACACGCTTTGCTCTTCAAGTATCTGCTGCCTGATGACATCTGAGCAACACTCAGCCATGATGGAAGCTGGCCGAAAGGCAAATAGTCCAAATAAGCCACCACTGCGGATCGGCCTCAGCCATGTGACAGGAGTACTGCCCCTCCCCCCCTCCCCCCCCCCCCCCCACACACCTTCTCCTTCCCTTTTCAGGCCAGTTAACAGCCAGGGGTGGGGAATGGGTGCTTAGATGATCCCTGGCTTCCAGCCGCTGCCACAGAAGATTCTCAAACTCTCCAGAATGTGGGCAGGCAAGGGGGAGGGGCCCGGAGAGCTGAAGTTCTCCACCAGAGGATACTGTCAGAGAACCCAAGGCAGAGATGGTCCCTATGCCCCATGTTTCCATGGAAACATAGGAGGAGTGATGACAGCCTGCACAGCCACACCATCTGCTTGGGACCTGGCGAATGATGAAAAAAAATGGAAACAGAAAAGCACCTCGATCCGGGCTAGAACCACTCTGAGATAGCAGCGGAGAGACAAAGGCCCGAAGAGGCTAGAATGCCTAGGTGGCTTAAACCCCAGCCATCCTGGGCTCCACAAATTGGCATGTAATTTGCAAGCAGAACGCCTCCAGGGCTTGTTCCGCCATCCTTAGCTCCAGTGCGGACACCCAGGCGGCCCTGGAGGAGGAAGGCTGCCTGTGGGTCTGCAGCCTGGCTGGGCAGGGGGGAAGGTGCAGCGAGGAGCCTTGGAAGGGGAAGACGAGGGGGAGCAGAGGCTCCCGGCACCTTCCAGCAAGACCACCTGCACAGCTGGCTTCCAGCCAAGCACCTTTTTCTAGGGTAATAGAGATTAGAAAAGGAAAACCCCCACCTAGTCCCAAAGGCCACCTCTGAGCTGTAGCCCCGTCTTCAGAGTCAGGGCTGAGCTAATGAAGCCATGCATTCGTAGCCAATGCCAGTCTGAGTTGGCTGCCACAGATTTGCTTCTGGGTCCACTCCAGGCTCGGGGGGTGTGAGTGGAGCCCCAGAGGAGGCCCAGACTGAGAAGGATTCATTCCAGAGTCCCTTTCTTTATAGATTTCGCCAAAACAGCCCTGACCTGGAAAGCCCACAGCTCCCCTCCCTCTGCTGCTCCTGCCACGGCCTCAGGAGCTGCGGGTGCCACTCAGGGTCTGTGGAAATGCGGATCTGTCTCTGGAGAAAGGTCCCTCAAGCCTCAAGGTCATTAGTGTGCACAGATGCTACATCGACTTCCTAGGAAACATCAGTTTTTATTTTTAATGTAGGTAGTCTCTTACTCCTTGACAAAAATGTTTCCCTTTTAGTTCTGGCATTCTCATTCCAGGAAGGCCAAGGCCCTTTTTGCTTTGTACTTAGGATTTAAAATTTGACAACTAAATTAAATGCTTGTTTTGGTATAGGTAGAAGGGCTGAAAAATAATGAGGCTATCTTAATAAACCAGGTAAATAACAACAACCACCAAGATCTCCCCACTAAGGTTCTTATTGTTCTACGTTGTACTTATAAATGGTATTCATTTAGATTTACTAGTATTTCCCTGACGCCTTAGTAAAAATGGTACCTATAACTATTATTAGGTTTCTTCAAAAGGTGCTGGTCTCCACCTGGACATTCTATCCCCTGGAAATAAAAAGCATTCATGCTGGCTAGAGGCCCCAAGCAGCAAATAGGAACTGTTTCTGATGAAAAAAAAATTAAATACCAGTGAAACTGCTTGAGGTTTACGTACACTCATGTATTAACAGGAAGCACTGTGCTTAACTTCACACAGAAATCTTGGCTCGGAGATCCGGCTGCAGGGGAGAGGCCTGTGGTAAATGGACCCCCGGCTCCCCGCACCCAGACCTTTCTCTTTCCCTTTCTGGGGTCATCTGTTCGCCTCCAGCCTCCACGTTGAAGGCAGATCTGTATCTCCAGCTTCAAGCTCTGGTTGGGACTCCCGACAAACATGTTCTGTTTGTCCTTCGGCAGCCCTCCTTTGTATAAACAGATGTGCTGGGAAGGCAGGGAGGGCCAGATCTCTGCGAGGGTGGGAGGTCTGCTTTCTGGAAGCTTCCCCGCTGCAGCCCCCAGCACGGGGACAGGATGCATTCCTCGTCCAGACTGTGGAACTTGCAGTTCTTCCAAAGGGGCTGTTCCCTTCTCCTTTCCACCCTCCACCCGCACCTTTTGTTCCCGGGAATGCTGTCTGCGTGGCTCAGGCGCCTCACTTTTGCCAGAGCAAACATTTCCAGCAAAGGCGGCTGCTAAGGAGATGTTAGGAAGACAGATTTCCCCCTCTCCAGATCCGCGGACAGGGATGTGGGAAGACAGCTTCTCACCTGTGCTGCTCAGTCTCTTTGTTCTCCCTTAGCCTCGGCGCTACCTGTGCCTAATGAGGGAGCTCTGAGGGACCCGCGTTGTCAGCTTGTAAAATAACAACTCCGTTTTCTCAAACTGTGTGGACACTGACTCTGCCTTAATTTATTGCTTTACATTTTGCACATTAGTTAGGGATGCTAATAAAGGAAGGACTACTTTGAGAGGGAGGTAATGGGGGAGGAAAAGGGGAGCATTTTGTAATCCAACTCCAAATAGGAAAGAATTCTCGTTGGTCTTTTCTCCTTGGCATGTTCACCAGCCTTGGTTTGCTAATCCTCGCTCACGGGTCAGGGAGGTGAGAGGGTGACTCTCAGGCTTGACCCGGGGCCATCCTGTGCCTTCTCCCCGAGGGTCTAGATTTCCGGGGTCCCCCAGGCAGCTGAGAGAGAACAAAGGGGAAGAGGACCAGAAGGGCCTCCCAGCAGGAACCGGTTTGGTGCCAGAGGTGGGCCCTTGCTGCACTGCCAGGTGTCTCTCTCTCCAGGAAACCTCTGGAATCCGAGCGAGGCTCCAGAGCTGCGTCCAAGGACAGGAGGGTGGGGCTCAGGAGGGTTCCGGTTTGGGAGAAACAGATTTGGACCTGGGCTCCTCGGCATGTCTGTAAGAGTCAGGAGGGGAAAGTGTTCTTTAACACGGGGGTGGGGGGGGGTGGGGGGGTGGTAATAGGACTTGATTTTTAGGAGCCACAATGACACTCCATCATCTTCCAGCTGACAATGCGCCTCTCGCCAGCCTGGAATGGGGCAGGAAGTTCGCAGTCTGCTCCCAGAGGCCAGCCCCCTCCCTGTGAGAAATGAAAAGAGGGGGCTTGGTGTCCAGGGACTGGCCAGCGGGAGGACGGTGAGACCTCCGCTGCAGGCCGCGCCGCAGGGCCGGGCAGGAGACCTGGCCTCCCGGGTCCCCTTATTTCCTTTAACTCGCTGGCTCCAGATATTTTAAACGGTTTGTTTACGGCGCTGCTGGAGGCGGCACGGTTAACTCTCGGGGCCTGGGGCGTCGGAAATTTCCCGGCCGCGACTCCGGGTCTGCAGTCCCCGCCGCCAGGCGCCGCGGGTCACGGCGATCCCGGGCCCGGAGAGCGCGCGGGCGGCCTCCCCGCATCCCCCGCCGCCGGCCCAGGCGCCCGGGGCGGCGCGGAGGGGGGCACCGGGGCGGGGCGGCGGGGCGGCGGGCGCCGCGGGACCCCAGGGGCGGCGGGGAGCGGGGGCGCGCGGGAGCCGGGGCGGCGGGCGCGGCTCGGGCCCGGGGCGCGCGCCTCGGCCTCGCGCACACGCGCCTCCCGGAGGAGAAAGGCGGCGGCGGCGGGGGCAGCGGGGCGGGAGGAGGAGGAGGAGGCGGGGCGCGGCGGCGCCGAGCTCGCCGCTCTCCGGAGTGAGCCGGCCGCGAGCCGGGAGCGGGTGAGTGTGGCCGCTCCGCCGGCCCCGGGGCGCGGGGCGTGGGGGGCGCGGGGAGCCGGGGGCGCGGGGCCCGGAGCCGCTGGGGTGCACCTTGAGCGCCGCTTCTCGTTGCAGCGCGCGGGCGGCCGGAGCCTCGGCGGCGGCGGCGCTGACACGGACCCCGACACCTCCCACCATGGACAGCTTCGACCTGGCCCTGCTGCAGGAGTGGGACCTCGAGTCGCTGTGGTGAGTCCCGCGCCGGCGGCGGGGGCGGCGGGGCCGCGGCCCGACCTCACCTGGGCCGGGGCTGCCGTGGGGGGGGGGAGCGGGTGGTCCGGCGTCCTCCCCCTCCCCCTCCTCCCGGGCGGCCGCCTGCCCGGCTCCTGCCCCCTCCCCAGCCTCCCCTCCGGTGCCGCCCGCCCAGCCCCGGGCCGGGGATGCGGGAGCCGGGGCAGAGCGCAGCCATGGAGAGAAAAGACAGCACCGATCGCTAGAACGTGTCACCGGTGCCAGGTCCGCCCGCCGGCCCCGGGCCCCGCTCTCCCTTCCCGCCCGGTGCCCGCGCTCTCCCGGCGCCCAGCGCGGCCCGGAGCTGGCTGCGGGGAGCGCCGCAGAGGATGCTCCCGCCGCCGCCCGGCGCCCCCGCCCGCTCCCGCCCGGGAGGCAGCGCCGGGCAGGGAGCCCCTCCGCGTGGGCACCGGAGGCCGCGGCCCGGGGACTCCTTTCCTCGAGGTTCCCGTCCCCGGGCCGCTCCCCGCGCCCCCGCCCCCGCGGGCAGCCCTGCGCCGGGCGCCGGCCGCCTGGGAGCCCGGGCTCCGCTCGGCGCTCACGCTGAGGAGCTGCTGTGGGTAAATCGCCGCCAGAAGCAGTTTGATTCCGGTTGCCGGTGTTTTAAAAACCTCATTGGCTGTTTCGACATCCTTCTTGCCGCTCACCCCCCTCTTTCGTTGCCCGCCCCCCCTCCCTAAATGTTTCCAACCAGCCCTGCTCAGGTGGTAAGACTGCTGCCTGCATATCATTCCTGGAGGAACGTGTGTTCTGTTTAATATTTACGGGAATGCACATCTGCTGAAACAAGCATATTAACTGCACTCTGTTCTGCCCTGGGTAGTGGCTTATTGTAGAGCTGAGCTTTTTTTTTTTTTTTGGGTGGGGGGTTAATTCCGAAAAGGGTCCACATGTGTCTACAACTCCAAGTGGTGTGCACATGAATATGCAATGTGCATTTTTAAAGCTCCGCTGCTTTCTGATTTGTAGATCGTCCAGATGATCTATGGATGGATGTGTATTTTCAATGATGCCGGTTTCTCGTGACTTTTATCTTTCTAAAGCCAGGTGTCACACACACTTGACACAAAGGTAGCGCGTGGTGGAACGGTTTCTTATAAAATACATGCGGATGGGCCCTGAAGTAATAAACTTTTATATATTACACTGTGGAATATGGGGGACTTCAAAGAGCCAGTGTAAAATGAATATGAAACATGTTATTACTCTATAAAAGTTGCTAATTACTGCGTTGTTGCTGCAGGGTTATTGCAGCCTTTCATTTACAGACACCTATTATTTTACAGGTTTACATTAAGGAATGTTGGTTTCTGGCACAAATTCAATAGGTTTCTAGAAAGAAACTGTGCTTTAAACGTGACTTTTGCTTTTAAAAGGCAGCTTTTCAGTTGTAGAGAGGGACATTGTTTTGGCATATTTTTAATGCTACTTGTCTGCTTGCTTATTCAAATCGAAGCCCCCTCGAGATTTTTACAAGTAATATTTTGAGGTGTCAGCCATAATCTGTGGGCTTTTTCTGCACAGGCCTCAGCCCAGTTTCCCCTTGCAGCCTGAGTTCCCAGGTGAGTTACCTGAAACATGGTCACACAGTAAAGATCTGCTGAGTTGACTTGAAATTTACATCAGCTACAGTATACTTACTATTTTTAAAAGTGAAACAAATAGTCATTTTTAAAAGTTGGTATACATTCAGTCAGATTTAACCAATGCATTAATTTATCTTTGGCTTATGCAGGTGTATAGTCTGCACATTTGTGAAAGTGCTTGACTGAAGGGACTTTTTCTAGTTTGCAGATGTAGACGTTACATTTTACACAAGCTTACATGTTTCTGATAAAAATAAATCCTTGCGTATGCATTTTAACAGAGACGTTTCTGAGTCATGGATACATTGTTGGACGATATTTTCTAACTACCTTTTATGGTTCACTTTTAAGCTTATTAGTTTTTAAGTTTATGATTTACTTTTAAGGTTACATATAGACTAGAAGCCTGGTGCAAGAGATTCATGCACTTGTGGTGGTGGGGGGGAAGGGGATAGCTCCTGCGCTGAGCGTCTGCCCCCTGGTGGTCAGTGTGCCTCATAATGGCTGGTTGTTCCGAATTCGGTCTATTTGCATATTACCCTTTTATTATATAGTATATTCAAAATAACTAACATTTGTGTATTTTCTGCATGTCAGACATTTTCATATGCGTTGTTTTCTTATTTGAATGTTAACAATCCTAGAGGTGACAAGCTTAGTAGTCCCATTTTATAGACATAGACATGGAGGTTTGAACTGTGAAGTGACTTCCTGAGACTATAAAACAAATGGACATTGAGTGAACATTCGCCACTTACCAGATACTGTTCTAAGTAATTACATGTTTTAACTCTGTTCTAAATACATTACATGTTTTTTGTGTCATTTAATCCTCATAACAAACAACTTTAGGAAGCAAATACTATTATTATTCCCATTTTATAGTTTGGGAAAACAAGGGTGGGGAAGATCAGGTAATCTGTCCAGCATTGCATATCTAGAACTAAAAGTCCTATAGTCAGATGAGACATTAATTTCAAAGCTCAATTTTCTGATTTAAAATCCAGTGCGTTTTCTATAATACTGCTGATGTCTCCCAGTTTATGAGGCTCTAAAATTAATTACAAAACAAAATTTTGATGGACTTGAAATCAAGGTTTTGTTAAAATATGAAAGAAAGAGAAGGTCAGAGCCCTAAATGATATTGATCTAAAACTAAAAATTTGAAAATGAGATACCAAGATTTAGGAAATTATGCCTATCTTATTTGAGTTAACTTATGTATATTTCAAATATATATATAATTTTAATATGAATTATATAATTGAAATATATAAATTTAAAATAAAAATCACTAAAAACTTCTTCCTTTAATTCATTTTAGAAAAAACATTTTTCTTCAGAGAGGTATAGGTTAATGGAAAAGAGAATTGAATTTTGATCCCTAATAATTTTTTTTCCTAATTGGTCAACATCATTTTCCAATAAAACAAATTGCAGTTTGTTTGTTATGTCTGTAGTTTTGAACCTTCAATAGTTTAGTCTAGTGGTCACAGAAAGTGTCCCCAGATGTCTGTATAGACATGAGGAGAACAGCTCTGTGCTGTAGAATATAATCAACATGGACAATTAGTTGATAATTCATGACCCAACTCTCTGCCTCCTTACCCCCCTCCCCCCCAAAGATACACACACAAACTCAGGAACAACTACCCTTATTTTTCAAGGGAGGTCTTTAGACCTCCAGATAGCCATTTCAGTGTTTCCTTTCAGCCACACCTTAATGTTGAGAAGAAATTTCCATTTCTGATTCTGTTTCCCACTTCTGATTTGAAGCAAGAGTGGACACCGTGGAACAAGGTGAAGACACTCGTTCTCACCAGCGCCACCTTTGTGGAGTGCACCCCCTGAGGAGTCTGGGATTCAGTCACTGGGGTGCTCACAGGAGCAGATACCCCCAGGAGCAGGGTCCCAGCCTCCCACATCCCCTCCCTCCCTCCCTGCTCTTCAGCAGCTTCTCATCAGCTGGGCATGTAAGCCATTCCTCAGGGCCTTTAAGTAACGTCTGTCCTTTATAACAGGCTAACTGTTGCTTTTACTCATTTAACAAATATTTATTGATCATCCCTTTAAGTACAAGACCTTGTGCTGATTGCTGTAGGGGATACAAAGATGAATAAAACGTGGGTTAATACATAATTGTCTAGCAGGGGAATGAGAAAGGTGAAAAAGGAAGTTTTGAACAATTTTTATTCCGAGGACAGAAAGACCACATTTGGGACTGGGGTGGGAGGTGGAGGAGGGAGAGAGAAAAAAAATTGATTTTTTTTTTTTAAAGGCTTCCATGGAAAAGGTGGCCTTTGAACTAAGCCTTGGAAGATGAATGGAATTTTTACAGAGGGAGGGGGTGGGGGTATTGACAGGACATAGAGGCATCTTGGGCAAAGAAAGAGCGTGAACAAAGGCTTTCATGATGTATCTGAAAGATCCTTTCATGAGCCATGGCGGAGTTACCTATACACCGAGTGTTTTAAAGATGCAGAACTTTGTCATCACGAGTTACTTTCAGGGAGTGAGAACAGTTTTCCAAAGTGAGCTTGGCCAAAATTGGGTCTTAATCATCCTTAAATATAAATACAGTGTAGTTATTGGGGAGAGAGTCTATCGAAGTATAATAGTAAATATTCCGATTCCTCTACACCACACTCCCGTCCCCAACAGCTTCACATGGGCCAGGATCTATTTACTTTTGTCCAGATAAGCAGTATACTTTATATTCTTTCAAATTTGAATCTCTGAAGTTGTAATTAATGGGTATTTTATGCTCATAAATTTGTTCAAGATAATAAGCATTCGTGGAGTATTTAGGCCTAGGAAAGGTACTATAGAGCAGTGGCTTACAAATGTTTCAGACCATCACGCACCTTAACAAATACCTTTAACATCGCAACCCACTATATTTGTGAACATACAAATAACTGAAATAAAGTGTCATGAAGCTACACTTACTGGCACATGTATGCTGCACTGACAATTTCTATTCTATTCCTTTTCTTTTTAAAAAATTTCCCATTCATGGGTTTCAAACAAAATAACAACATCGACAACAAAAATCCCACAAATCCCACTGAAGGGGATGCAAAAGAAAGTTTTTGGGAGCTTGTAGGAGAGTAGCCATATCTATAAATGTCTGCAAAAGCTGACTTTGCCCGTTTCTAGGACATGAGGCCACATCCCCTTGAGAGAGGGAGACTTCATGGTTAGCTGGCACTTGACATGGATGCTGGAGGTGTAGAGGTTCAGGAGGAAATTAGGGGAGGAAAGGCCTTAGGAGGGAAGACTGACTCGGACTAGGACCGAGTGACGGTGGAGGCACAGTTGTTGCCAGCAGCAGGTGGGGACGCACTCGCTCCTCAGGGAGAGGGCGGAGCA